GCAAAATTATAGCTAATTTGCATACAAACATCAGGTGGTCATAATAATCTGGCCACAGTGTGTGTGTGTGTGTGTGTGTGTGTGTGTGTGTGTGTATATGTATATATACACATATATACACACACGTACATGTATACATATACACAATTATCTTAAATATCATGTATAGTATCATATCATATATATACCTAAGTAAAGATATATACGTGTATATAAAATTCATAAGGGCCCACAAAAGGCTGGGAAAGCCATCAGGCCGCTCACTATGCAAGTCTGACCCTGAGTAAAGAAGACAAGCAAATGTTAAGTGAAAACGTCCTAGACCAGTGGTCAGCAAACTGCGGCTCGTGAGCCCCTTGAGTGTGGCTCTTCCACAAAATACCTACTTCTGCGCATGGGCCATGAAGTTTCAATCGCACTGTACGTGCACGCCCGCACGTGGTATTTTGTGGAAGAGCCACACTCAAGGGGCCAAAGAGCCGCATGTGGCTCTCGAGCTGCAGTTTGCTAACCACTGTCCTAGAGTCTAGGACCTAGACTGGGGTGGGCAACCTTTTTGTGAGTGCGTGCCAAAACCAGCAAAATCTCTGACTCCAAATTCTTCTGCGTGCCAACCCTAATTTTTTGAGAACATGTTACACCTACTTGATATCTCTTAAGGTGTATGTATGTGAAGAACCTTGAAGAAATAATAAAATTCATTTGAGCAACAAAAACACAGTATATGATGATGAAAAATACATTTATTTTTTAATGTATACATGTACACTGATAGTCCGACAGAAAACTTTATGACTCCGTTTGATATTATCAGTGGGACTTTTGCTGCTGCATCACTGATGACAGAGATTTTACATCAGGTTTATATTTCGTGACCTTCAGAGATATGCACAAGCTACTACTTTGATCCGTCAGGCTACTCCTATTACGAGACTTAACAAAATTCATCACTGAGAACAAAGATTCACAAGCGTATGTGGATGAAACCAAAACACTGGTCGGATCTAGGAAGGCAGGGAGAGTTAAGGCAGAGGCATAGAAATTGCTCTTCCCCTCTCTCGTCAATCCATGTCTATGGTCTTTAAGATAACTTGTTATGTAAAATTATTTATTTATCTAAGATGCACCTACACTGAATTTATCTGAAAAATAAAAAAGTCGATATTAAGAAAAAAATTGTAAATGGAAGATTATAAGCGAGGGTTTTGCGTGCCAGCAAAAGTTACTGGCGTGCCATGTTTGGCATGCGTGCCAGGGGTTGCCCACCCCTGACCTAGACTAACATGTGGAGTCTAGAAAAGGCTTTTAGCAAGGCAGGTGGGGAGTCCTTCAGCCTAAATCAGCTGTCAAAGAAGTTCCCCATCTCCCAGGAATTGATCAGCCCTAGTGTTCCTACTTCACTCAATGACTGCCTGGGAGCCGCCCGTGGGAGGAGTGGCCTCGCCGCAAATGCTGCGCAGGATTTCACAGTCTCTGCAATGGACTATTTTCCATACACACAATTCAAAGGCTAACAAGAGCCAAATAAACAAGGCATGTGGCCTGTGGGCCACGAGTTTGACATGCTTGCCACGGTTTCAGAGCTTGATTAAAAGATATTCTCGCCCTGGCCGATGTGGCTCAGTGGTCAGAGCGTCAGACCTTACACTGAAAGGTCCAGTCCTGAGTTCCTTCCCTGCCCAGGCCTGGACACCTGCAACCAATCCACATGTCTCACATCTCTCTCCCCACTCCTCTCCACCCACGCCTGCCCCCGGACTCTGTCTAAAAATCAATGGAAAAAATATCCTCGGGTGAGGATAACAACAATTTCTCTAAATGATATGGTGCAGTGCTGGGGTCCAACCCCAGCAGGTCCAGGGGTCCCCAAAGGCGTGGACGGAGTCGGTGAAGAAGGAAGGACACGGAGGTAGCGTTCAGTTGATCAGCATAGCGATGTTCTCCCTCCAGGATCTCCAGCGAAGTTCTGGCCAAGTTCTGGTTAGGAACTGATGTTTATTGTCTTGTTACATCTGTATTTATACCAGTCGATTTTAATCCTGTCAATTTCTATTGCAAAGGTTAGGGCGTTTCTTATCTCCATTCCAGGGAGTAAAGATTATGTAGCTTAAGCGTGATTGTTTGTAGTTAAAGTGATTAACTACCCGCCTGGCACTTAGTTAAGGGGTTGTATCCCCTCCCTAACCTCAGGGAAAAATCCCCACCTGGGGAAACAACCTTTCTCGGAGAGGTGACCTTGGTTAAAACACATGGCGCTAAGGAGAGCAAACATATTAAGAACAATATGCTATATATGCCAGGTCCCTTGAAACATATGCTGTGCAGATGTTTCTTTCCTGCAGCGACTGTGTCAAGCAGCAAGGATGGACCGGCTTCCGGCAGTGCAGCAATAGTTACAAAGAAGGTGACTCATGGGAAGCTTTTGCCTCTCCCTAACACTGCACTGGCTTGCAGCCTCAGCTGGCAGGTGATGGCAAAGGGAGGTGGGCATCAAGAACACCTGGCCCGCATTTCTTGCTTTGCACAACGCAAGGTGGGAGGTTCTTGAGTGTCTTGCCTATTACTGTAGCCCAGATAGGGTGACTGACCTGTTGTGTCCTGTCCTCCCCTTCCTCCTCCTCCCATTCCTAAGCCCTTGTTTTATTTATCTCTGTCTTAATTGTTTACTCCAAATATCCTCTACTTGTTCCCTTCCAATAGCCAATGCACTGTCAAGCTGTTTGTCAATTTGCACAGATAAAAGCATTGAAAGACTTCCCTTAGCTGAGCATGTCATTACATCAAAGAAGAGGTGTAAACTCATAATGTGGAGAATACTGGGTTCTGAAGACAAGAACAGAGGACTGAATATATAGTTTAAGAGATTTCAGGGGTTATATAAAATGTGTGTGTCATGTGCCCTTGAGGCAGCTCAACTCCTGGCGACCCCAAGAATGACTGATGTCTACAATGTCCAGTCCCTAATAACCCTGCTCAGCACCTGTAGACTCATCTTCTTTTATGGAGTCAATCCAGAACTTTTCTAAAACATTTTTATGGGATCCATAAAAAAATTTTTTTTTGAACAACACTGTTACAGGAGTCTAATGATTTAATAATGAACAGTTCCTCATCCGCACAACTGGTGTGGTAGAAAATACTGGGGGTAAAATCGTGAGAACAGAAATGCAGCTCTTCCATTAACCCATTTTGTAACCTATGGCAGTCAGTTAACCTGTCTAGCTTTGCCTTCTCATCTGTAAAATGAAGTGATTGGACTATGGTTAATTTGAATTTGGGAGCTATTCTATTCTGTCAGTGTAAGTTCTCTTTGAATGTCTCCTAAGCGTTTGTCTTTCTCTTTTCTCGTCTGTTAGTTTGAAGTTCTTTTCTAGAGGTAACACACACTGTTGGGAATAGGAAGGAAAACATTAACTACTGCATTTTCCTTTTCCTCTCCATTAAAGAGAACATGATCCTCTAAGACGTATAAAATGAATAAATTGTCAAGTAATCAATTAAAACTATTGCCCAGCCGTATCAGTAATTTTGGGGACTTCATGGAGGATCTCCTAAATCCCACGGGTTGGAAAAAGGCGCACACAGGCCTTCCCTTTACACCTAGGATCCATGATAGAATCCAAGGGGTTCAAAAACTTGTGTAGGAAAAAAAATATTTTCACTAACCTCTTAATTACTTTCCTTCAACTAGGAATATAGGCAATAACCAGAGTAGTACTAGCAGTTACTGTTTGTTACTTTGTCACCAATAAAAATCAGTGTCTTATAGCACGATTGTTACAGATGTTTCAAAATATAATTTATGCTCTTCACTATTTTGAAGTTGTGGAAGTTTATTAGATTTGGTTCTAGCTACTGGTATTTGAAGCACACATACAACTATATACACATATATAAAACAATCGCTATTTAACAAAGGTGGTTTTAATTTATTTGATGACTATATTTCAACATAATTTCTTTGTAATCATACATTTCATTTTATGTGTTTAAAAACATTGCTCTGAAAAGGAATCCGTAAACCTCGCGGGGTTGCCAAAGAAGTCTTGGAGACACACACACACACACACACACACACACACACAAAGATTATCCTGGCATAAATACAGACATAAAGATCATTAAAGGGCTACTAGTGCATCATGGAACAATTGGTAGCCGCCACCGTAAATCTGAAAAACTGCAAATTATGACTCTATAATTGAGTGGATGGAGAACCTTAAGGAGCAACCAAGAACTGCAATTTAAAGAGAAGGAAAAAAATGTTTTTCAGGAGCAATGAGGATAGGAAGGATCCACTTCAGGTTCACCTTTTGCTGCCGGCCAGGAGGACTGAAGGCACAGGTCACTTCCTGTTGACTGCAGCGGGGACCTCACCCCCATCCTCCCCGGCCGGGCACAGGGGCACACGCCAGGCAGGCGGGGGAACGCACGCCACGGGATCAAAGAACTCTCTTTTAAAAATGTACGCCCGGAGTTTTGCTGATGCCCAACGACTTCTAGTGGGTCAACGTGCATGAGTTGACTCCCTTTTCTGTCAACTGTTGTAGAAGCGCAAACTGACCGGAGAAAAGTTTCATCCACAAACTCAAGTTCGGAAACCATCGCTCGCCAGCGCGGGAGACTGGGGGATGGCGGGGTGGTGGGGTCGGCGGGAGGTCCCCATACTCCAGAATGTTGGCCCATTTCCCACCCCGTCCCTACAGGAGTGGTTCCGCCCGAGACACACGAACCCCTTGGGTTGGAGGCCAGCCCGCTCCAGCCCGTTCCGCGTGCCAGTCCCTTTAAGGCCCCAGGTTCCAGCCCCGAATGCCCCAGCCAGTTCCCAGGCTCCGCCTCCTCCTCTGCGGCGCGGGCCGCACTCCGCAGCGTTCCTGAGTGCGCGCCGTTAGCTGACGTTCCGCTCCTGATTGGCCGCCGCACCCTGGCGAGCCGGGATTGGCGGGCGGCTGGTCCCGCCCCGCGCCCTCGCCAAGGCCCGCGGCCGCCCGGGTGTCCTCGCGCCTGTCTTCCGCGCGCAGCCTGGCAGTTTGCCTTTTCCTCGTCTTCCAGCCTGCGTCCATGGCCGCCGCCGCCGCCGAGGAGCTCTTTCCCTTTCCACGGCCTGCTGCCCAAAGAAAGAGACCGGGGCCGCCTCCTTCCTCTGTCGCTACCCGGAGTATGACGGGCGGGGGGTGCTCATCGCCGTCCTGGA